AATTCTCTCCAAGGTACCCACTTGCACTCAAGTAGCGATCTACTTCCCAACGATCAGTGAACTCCTTCATTAAACCAACCAGAAGACAAGGAAACAGTCATGGGAGTGCTGCAATGAAGGGTTTAACAGTTATTAGTGAGAGCTGGCAAGTGCGAGTGGGAGAGAGGTGTACCTTGAGACGATTGTCGAATTTGGAAACAACAATCACGGTTCTTCTGAAAGTGGGATCGATTTCGCGAATTGCATCCAACCACAATGATGAACACCACTCAACACTACTCTGTTGAAGGAACAGGAGGATCCGATGTGGAGGGCTCGCCAATGACTTGACCATGGAAAGGATTTCATCTGGTGTGTTCTCTGGTTCTCCTTTCTTTGCCTGCCCACAAACCCCACACACAGATACATAAAAACCAAATTAAGGGTACCAATGATGGTGATAGGATGATACCAATGTGGAAAGGTCTCCCCACTTACCTTAAGGACAAAGCCAGGGGTATCTATGATGGTGAGATTGGGGCAATGCGCATACTCAGCCCTCATCACAAGTGGCTTAGCAGAAACCGCAGCTTTTGTGATCTTCAAAAGTGCCTCCGTCCGCGACTTTATAACATCTGCAATTGCAGGTCCAGAAAGAACAGGACTGCCGTATTCCTCGGAATCCTCTTCCTGCAAGTCCAATAAAAGATCGTATTGAAGGATAGTTCATCTCGGCCAATAGAGTCAGTGGAAGATGGTTCTGCAATTCGCTTAAGGTCACAAACTGATACCCAATCAACAAAACCCAACCACCATTTGAAATAGAAAAACCCTAAAAGGATTCTCAGTGGACATGTCTATATCGAGTTGAAACCTGGGACACTAGGTTCAAGAAGAGACCTGAAAACGGCAGCGGGGCTCTAGGGCGGTAGGGTCATGGACCATCTGGAGAATAAGTGGTCTGCGTGTACCCATCTCCACCTCCCGGACATTGAAGCGGAAACCGAGGAGCGCTTCAAGAAGGGAGCTCTTGCCATCAGATTGGCCGCCGATGGCTACGATCTCCGGGATGGGGAGTTTCTCGCCGAATGCTACCGCTGCTGCTTGCAAGCGGTTGTAGGCTTCGAATCTAGACGACGAAGAGGAGGAGCTGTGGTGGTGGAGATGGTGTTTTCTGGAGTGAGGAGTCTTGGACGGCGTGGAGAGCTGATTGCTACCGCTCGCCGCCATTTCGCCGAGCAGGGTTTGGGTCTGAGAGACTGAGAGAGATCTGGTGGGATGTGGAGGGAAAAAGCTCTCGCCGGAGCCGAATGGCAAGTTTGAATTTGAATCTTTCCTTTTTCTTTTTTTTTTTTTTTTCGCAAAGTCAGTTGTTATAAAATCAGTCATACAGAGAAAATAAAAAGAGCGCGGGAGTCGACCAATAGTCGAACTCCCGATGAGAGGGCCTTTTATGCCACAAGATGGGCAGCCCTATTGAGACAGCGAAGAACAAAACAGTAAGAAATCCAACTAAAGAGAAAAGTCAAGCTCTGAGCATCCTGCAAGATAGTTCCATCCTGATCATGAGCCAAGTCACCTGTCTGAGGAAGTCTCTCCGATATCGGGAGCTCTTCTGCGTGCCCCTACAAAAAAAAACAAACAAAACACACAAGCGTCCCCACTGTAGGACATCTAAGCTCCACCAAATGGACTTAAACAAGCCATTAAGGCTTAGTTGGATACACCGAATCCAAAACTATGTCAAGCTAATATATTTTTTTATATATAGGGATAGTTAAAGAAAAGCAATAAAATAAAACGGACGAAATTGACAAATAAAATGAAAAAAATGGAGGGTAAGTATCAAAAGAAAACAAATAAAAATTACAAATAAATAATGAAGGAAATGTATAGCGGTTAATTAAAAAATAAAGGAAATAAAAAATGACTAAATTGCAGTAACGTAAAATAATGGAAACTGAAGAGTCTGTTTGAGTTACTTACCTGGAGCAGTTACACCATTCAAAAAGGAGTGAAATTGTAATTAATTAAAAAACATAGTTACCAATTACTTGCAGGCTTGCAGCATCCCACAAGACCCGACCGTTCAGTTACCCCAAGTAACCGCCATCTGTCTTCTCTTCCATGCACCGATGTAACCCTAGACCCCGGCGAAACTCATCGTGCGACTCCTCCTCTTCATCTCCGCCAGCACCGCCGCCAGGGGCACAGCCGGACCGCTGGTACACGGAGGTGATGATCGGGTTGCAAATCCGCCTCTACACGCGCCATGGCGGATCTTACGATCAACAACAAGCTTGGCGACGATCTTGTCGAAGAGATTCTGATTCGCCTCTCCAATCACAGGATCGCCTGCCGCTGCAAACTCGTCTGCCGGCTGTGGAACTCCGTCATCGTCTCCGACAACCACTCCTTCAACCGTCGTTTCGTTTCCCACCGCCAGACCATGACTCCCAACGACCTCAAATCCATGGTCCTCAGCATCATCCCTCCCTTATGATTTGGCTGTTTGAATTCTGAAAGTAGTCATGGGATTAAACTCACCGGCCACTTCTGGAGGCGACAGCGGTTGATTGGAAGAGGAGGAGACCACAGCGGCGAGGAGGAGAGATCACAGCTTTACGGAAGAAAGATAGGAACCCAACGCGAGATGAAAAGGCAATTTAGGATCATTTTTCTTGAATAATTTTTTGTTTTGGTTTTCATTCATTACCAGGCCCAGTCCAAGTATTCGTATTTGGGCCAATGCCAATTTTGGGCCAGAACAAACGGTGAATGAAATCCAACTCCTCTTCCAGAACCAGAAGGAAGGCATTCTCTCTCCTCTCTGCAATTGCAAAATTTCCAACCGTACCGATTCGCTTCTTCAGAAAGGCCAGTCAGGCGCATTGCGAGCAACAAGAAGAAGCTCTCCATTCCTTCCTTCCGATGGCGTCTTTGTTGAAAACCCTAGCGAAACAATCGTCCGGTTTGGTGGGTTCCTCTACTCCCACCGCGACAAGAAATTTCAGCCTCGTTAGCAGCCAAATCAGCCAACACACGGGCAAATGGATGCAGGTGCTTTTCAATTAGATTCATCCCTTTCTTTGAAAACTAGGATTTTTTTCTCAATTGGCATACGTTTTAGAAGGACCAATGATCAGTAATTTGGAATAGATTAGTTTTAGTTGCGTTCCTATCTATCGCGTTGGGCTTCCAAATCTGAGAAAGTCGCTGTGTATAGTTATGCGCTTATGTTCGAGTAGTGTTTGATGAGGTATCGGATGCAAGGATGGATGTTTTCCCAATGTGTTTTTCACAATCTCATGTTCATGGTCCTGAGGCATCTGCGCTTCATGCTGCCCGAATTAGTCTTCAAACCAGCCAAAGAAAGGGGGAAAGAAAGTATCTTTTCCCTGAATTATGATCTCCTTGCGGTATCAAACATGGGTCTATTTGTCAATGTTCATATGTAACAGTGATTTCCACTGCATCCTGAGTGGAATGTTCTGTTTTGAAGAAGGAGAAGAAGAATAAGAGCTTGAAAAAGGGTTGTTTTTTCTTGTTATGTAGGATACAACCAAGAAATCTCCGATGGAGTTGATCAACGAGATTCCACCCATCAAGGTTGAGGGAAGGATTGCTGCGTGCGAAGGAGGTTAGTTTTGTACTTTTCGTAGCTTGCTTCCGTCATTTTGAAACTGTGGTTGCTTATTTGTGTCATAATCTTGGGAGTTGGGAGGAAATAGAGATGGAAAGAGATAATATATCTGGAGCTGTTAAGTTAATGTGTTGGCCTGGGGCCTGTTTGGTTCTGCAGATACAAACCCTGCACTTGGGCATCCAATTGAGTTCATTTGCTTGGACCTGAAGGAGCCTGCAGTTTGCAAATATTGTGGTCTGAGGTTCGTCCAGGATCATCATCACTAGGAGCTTGGTACGACATGTCTTCTTTGTGTGAGGCAGGGCAAAGGCGTTACACTACATTATATGTTATCGGGGCAATCGTGTCATCTTTGGCATGCTTAATGATTTCTGTATGCATCCCAAATCATTAGCAGCTTGGTGTTGATTACCAGGGGAATAAGCTCTTGATGTGTGTCTTCTGTCTTGGTGAATTCTTAGTAGAAATTGGGATATCCATCCACCCCTTTGCATTTTTCATGGATTCTATGGATTTGTATGCTTCTTACCTTGTCCATTTCTATTTGACGCCATAAAGGGAGATGATCTGCATATTGTACCCTTCCGGGGAATAAGATTGCTATCATTCATAATATGTAGAGGATTGACCCATGATTATTGGTTTGGCGATCTTCATATTTTGTTAAGCTGGCTGAATAGCTTGATATTGCATTGACCCATAATTCTACCCTATGCGTGATAGGGGAAATATTGGTTACAACGATATCGTTCTGTCATCCAAATCTGTGAAAGTTGGAGCTTAGTTTACTTTTCTAGATCCTTTGCGATGTGTGATTCAGGATTTCTGAGGATTGTTTCTTACTGCTACCTAAGGTTTATCTGTCACTTAACTTAAAAGGTTAAGATAGGGGAGATTGCATCCATCCATGTAGCATGATACTTGCCGGGATATGCTGGAGTTTGAGAAAGGAGAGAAGCTGGACGGTGATCGTTATCGGCTTGAAAGTGAATCGCGTTTACAGGGGAAAATGTAATTTTACTGATGCTGGATGTTGTTTTGGGACATTGGAAAGGAAGAAACATGGATGGATAGCTTTACATGAACACGAATGCTTATGTTCATGCTCACTCACCCAACACCATCTGCATCTTTCAGAATCGCATTTGCAGAAATCTACACATTCTCCTCTTTGCTGTCAATGTTGATAAAGTTTTTCATTATATTGCATTAGCGCAGTTTAATAACAAATCAGGGTCTTTATTTTTTTCTGGTGAAAGGAAAAGACAGTAAGAAAGCAGTGAACCATAAATGAATTACTACAGTGATAATAGGTAGTTAACAAGAATCAGAGGCCCAGCCCACGATGATATATCCTTCTGAGCCTGGAGGGATGCTAGGCCCAACATGATACAAACACGAATAAGAGGAGGAGCAGTTGAGAAGAAAGCCCAGCAGGTGAGGACGACAAAGACGACGACGATGATCTCTTGTGAGGAGAGGAAGGCGAAGGTTGTATGGGGTCGACGTGGGTGGTGGAGGGTGCCGGACTAGTGGCAACCCCAACATCATCGCCGCCGACGTCAGGTGGACCAGCGGACTTCGGCCCACAAGTAGGAGTGGAAATCGGCCGGAGGGGAAGCACGCCGTCGATCCCGTGGCATCTTATGGAGGAGGCCGGAGAGGTACATATATTGGGGCTGATGATCTTGACGTCGTTGAGGGAGAAGTTGTAGTTCCCCCTTCCTCCGCCGTTGCTCCTCCTCCTCCGCCACCATTTGCTGCTAACGTCGTTGTCGTTGCGGACGTGAAGCACGTACCCCGGGCTGGAACTCGGGATGGTGGAACCCGACGGGAAGTGCCAGAGATGGTCGAACAGCAACGGGGAGGGGATGGAATGACGAAGCATGAATTCCCTAACAGACCATGATGATGATGATGACTGCTCGTCGTCGTCGACTTGTGTTTCTGCTTCTTGTTGTTGGGTCTTGAATGTGATCCTCGACAAGATGCGGTCGTTGGGCATGAGGAAGGTGAGGTTGCCGGCGGCGTCCTGTTGATCGGCCATCATCATGTTCAGCAGCATCACGAAAGTGAAGTAGTTGGCTCTCCTCATCTCTTCCGTCGCAACGGCCAGGTCTCGCCCGCCGGTGTCCGCAGCTGTTGTTGCACTAGCGTAGGAAGAATTGTGATTGACACCATCGTCTGAATGATCTGCAGCAGCAGCAGCAACCAAAATCAGCAGCAGCAGTTGCAAAACAATGCAACGGAAAACGTAAGATGCCATAATCCTCCTTCGGGTGGATCGTGTTTCTGGTATTTTTTTCTATTTGACGGAGTTCCAGGGCTTGGGTTGGATGGAGTTAGGACAGGATCAGGAGATACATTTTTTCCATCCCATGCATCTCAGCTGCTCAAACCACTGCAGTTCACGACTTCTGCATGCACTTCCTCTACTTTCTTACTTCCATCTATAATCTACCAAGAAAAATGCATGTTCTACTTTTAACTAATGGACCAACGACACCATGGATTGCAAAACCAACTTTCACTAGTCACCTGCTGTAAAACTGATCAACACTAACATCAAACTTTCCATTACAAAAGAAAAGAGAGAGAAAACATGTACTTCTGTTTGTTTGGTCACAGTTACAGAAAAAGTTTCTAAAAGAAGAGCCAATATATAGGAGTAATAATTTAATGAAGGAATACTTGCAGGCAGGGGAATCACGTCAAAATCAAGCTGCAGAGGAGTAACTGAGTAAGAGGAGGGTCTAGCAGTAGCTTAGGGGAACTGGAAGGATCCACCAATTTGGTTAGTGTTGGAAGGAGGATTGATGGCCACCCAAAGCAAAGATATGGTGATGGCCACGAGCCCCGACCACACGAACACAATCGTAGGCGTCCTCCCTCTCCTCCCCATCAGCCCCTTGGCAAATGGATAAAGATGAGCCAGCACCCAGAAGCTGAAGAACACTCCTCCCAGAAGCCTGCTCCACTGCGGGATCACACTGTATATAGTCCTGCTCACCCCGACCGCTATAGCAATCAGATTCACCATCATGATCACGATCGGCGGTATCATCAGCGATGTCCACTTCACTATGTATAGATCGGCAAACTCATCGTCCACGTCGTCCCCTCCCGACTTCGACGTCAGAGTGAAGGAGATCTCGATCCCGGCCACCACCTTCAGCAGGCCCTGAAGCACCGCTGCCAGGTGAGCGCTGGTCCCACCGATCAACCAGAACTGTTCGTTCCTCCACCATTCCTCCAGCTCGATCCCAGACCACTTGATCTCCAACACTGCCAGCATGCACAGCGTCACAGAAATGACGAGCAGGTACACGAGGAACGTCACGTCCAGAGTGTTCACGATGAACTGCCCCGAGAACAGGGAGAGCGCTGGCAGGAAGCAGTAGACGATCAGGAACACCGATGTGAAAGGGTATATACCGACGTTGAGGTACGCTATTCTCTGGAGAAACTTCATCCTTGAGCTCGCCAGCAGCGCGTTGTTGCGGGAGAAGAAGATCTCGACCGAACCAGTGGCCCACCTCAGCACCTGGTGGAGCCTGTCCGTGAGATTGATAGGTGCCGTGCCTCGGAAGGCATCACGCTTGGTGACACAGTAAACAGATTTCCAGCCTCTGTTGTGCATCCTGTAACCGGTCACCACATCTTCAGTGACCGACCCGTAAATCCATCCAGTTCGCTGACCCCACTCCGTCTTGTCCTCGTACCAGCACGATATGACACTGATTGCCTCAGCAACCGTAGATGCATCGAGAAGATCACGTGCAATGGTCAGAGCGCCAGGTGGGCGCCCATTCTTAATAGCTGGGTGATCAGCAAGCGGGCGTCCTTGAAACTCAGCCACTGGGATTGAGTCGATCAGGAAGGTTGAGTTACCGAACTTCTTGGGCAGCAGCGAGAGGTTCATTTCTTCATCGTCTGAATCACCCATCCTCAATGACCTATTCTCCTCCGGAGTGTGTGCAACTGAGGAATGCTTCTTCCGGCGGCTGGAGAAACAGCAGCTGCAGCAGCCTGGATGGTGATCTTTTGATCGAGGAGGGTCAAACCCATACAAAGCAATCCTTCTGAAAAGGCATCCCGTCCCCACATAGACAGGTCCCATAAGTCCATCGAGAGCACGCATGTTGACATCGAAGAAGACAGTATTGTGGTTGGCATATCTGTCAGAGGGGTCGATACCTTCGAACCTCTGAGGGAACTGGACATAACAGAGGCGATCCCCACCTCGATCCATCATGAAACACATGCCTTCTCTTAGTGCCTGAGAGTTGTATATGTAATGGTCGCAGTCCAGATTGAGAATGAAAGGGCCATTTGACATGATAGCAGAAGCTCTAACCAGAGCGTTCATGGCTCCTGCCTTCTTGTTATGATCATAACCAGGACGCTTCTCACGGGAAACATAAACAAGAAGCGGGAGGCGAATGTCAATATCAGTGAGGTCGATGAGCTTAGCTTCATCGGAACCGCCATGTAGTGGCTCGTCACTCGGAGGTTTCAGCATCACCTGCATAGAACACCGCCCCATTTCTGATATCAGTTAAACCGATCCATGTAGTGGCCTGGAGAATGAAAGCAAGTGAACTATAAGAATATACCTGAATAATTCCAGCATGGTCTCCTTTGGAGTGCTCAGGTCCAGGAGTCATCCAAGTGCCAGGCCAGTGAGTACCATCAGCCATCCATGTAGCCTTTGGAATCTTGACACTATCAACAGGTTCATCCTCCCTGTTCTGCCTCTGAAGCTTCAAGGCTTTGATTTCTTCCCGTGCGTGATATGCATCAGAACGACGGCGAATGGAATCAGGCAAACCATTGATTCGCACCTTGAACTCATCGTACTCCCGCTTTACCCTTCGGCGGTCCTTGACAAAGTCTGATTTCACTTTGTTCTTGTAGGGATCCCTCTTCAGGCTAAAGTAGGACTCTGGATTCCTAGGCTCTATGTCATGTTTACGGCAGAAAGGAACCCAAATGTTGGCAAAACTAGCAGCTTCAGCCATGGCCTCGAAGGTCAGAAGTGCTCCACCATCATCAGAAACGTAACATGCAAGCTTTTCAACAGGGTAGTCGGCGGCCAAGATCGATAAGATGGTGTTTGAAGTGACAAGAGGTGGTTCTTTCTCAGGATCTGCAGTGGAGACAAATACATCTACCCCTGGAAGATCTGACTTTCCTGTTGGGTTGTTTAGCGTGGGGGTTTCAAATTTCTCCTTCAACACATTCAGATCAGTGGCACGGTTGATTGGGCAGAGCTTGGGAAGTTGGTCAAGAAGCCAAGAAAAAGCAAACCAAATCTCACAGACAATTGACATCCCCCATAACCAGATTGCGTCCTGGTTAGGATGGGCCACCCTCCATTGCAAAAACAAACCAAGGGCGACGATTCGAATGACAACAAGAAGTCTGAAACACAAGAGCGGAGAGGGCGTGAGTAGAGGACGCAAATTGGTTTTAATTTAAGCAAGGGATGAAGCAATCAGTCAGCACTAAGATTAACAACAAAAAGCTCTTCTCTGTTAGGAGAAGCAGTACCTAACACTAACAGAGAAGTAGAAAGAGAGCAGCTTTCTTTTGCAGAAGCAAGGAAGCAATGAGAATTGAACTACTTGTTTGTTCCACTTGTGTGAATATTCATCATCAAGACCCCCATAAAAAGACTTCATTTACAAGCAAGGGCTTGGGCAGGGTACTATTCACTTATTATAGCGGGTATAGATCCAATCAACTCAGTAAACAGGAAATGGAAAGAGCTTGGATTATGAATGAATGAATGAATGAATACCTGTATGGACTGATAACAGCAGCAGGTATCTTCAATTTACGGGTGAGAGGCCTCCATGGTTTGGACATCAAGTCCTTAGGCTGATGAACATCTTCATCCTTGCCATTGTTGGAGCCAAAGCCACCGTCATTGGGCCAAATAGCATTTCCATAACCGTAAGTGCCCCTGGTCTCAAAGAGCCAGCGGTTGTGATCGAAGTCCCCAGTCTGGCTCCTCATGAGCACGGATTTTGTGGATTTCATGAGCGAGAGGCGGCGCTCCATCTTCGACATGGTCCCAGGTGGAGGGAGCGGAAGCGGGCGAGAATTGTTGTCGACGGCGACCTCATCCAGCTCGGTGTTTTTGTAAGACTCCTTGCAACCAGGGCAGATGCCGCCGCCGGTCTTGACGGCGTCGATGTAGCAGTCCCGGCAGATCTTGAAGTCGCACTCGCAGGGGAGGATGTCGACGCCGCGCTCGTCGCTCATGACTTTAGCATCGCACCCTGGGACGGCGCAGCAGGAGCCCTTGGCGCCGGCCATCTGCGGGTGGCTGGCCTCGGAGTCGATGACCTTGTCCATGAGGTGGGCCCTGGTGACGCTGTTGAAGCCGCCGGTGAAGAGGGAGTTGGAGACGTACTGCTCCTCGACCTTCTGCGAGATGGAAGGGTCCATCGGCTGGTTGTCCGGCGTCGGCGGGATGTGGACCGTGTAGTTCATGAAGTCGCTGCTTCCGATCTCGCTGTCCAGGTCGTCCCTCGAGTAGCTCACGTACCTTCCCGATGACGTTCTCCTCCCGAATGTCACCGTCGGCGGCAGGGGAGGCTTCTGAGAGTCCGTCGCATCTGAACTGATGGATAGGTTCGATCTGCTCCCTTTGAACGACTTGGAAGCCATCTCAACAACGAAATCTTTAAACCCCCAACCCAAAATCTAATTATTCCCAAAATTCGTAGGTTTGGATAATCCCAAATTCTGTCTCGCTCAGAAGATCCTGCCAACAAAATCAAAATCTACCAACATCAATATCAACGGCTTCTATTCAAAAAAGAAAAGAAAACACAGTATCAGCCAGTTCCCCATTTCTAAGCACAAGTGCACCACTTCACTGATTCATCTCTAAACCCTAGCCAACCCCACATGACAAAAACAACCCTACCCCAACCAAGTGCCTCCCCGTCTTTCTAATTCAAATGATAAAACAGGGGATAATGATTCATTGATTCGGAAATTTTCTCTTACTTTTTTTTCTTTTTACTTTTTTACTTCTAGCTCTCCCTTTTCAGCCGGAATTTTCCCGAGAAAATTAAGGGAGGGGGTATCCCGTAGGAAAAGGAAGGGGAAAAAACGGCGAGAAAGGAAAGACATAAAGACGCGTAGATCCGGAATCCTGCTTTTCTTTGTTTCTTCGCTACCTCCATTACTGCATTTCATCTTTCACGGTCTATAATAAGCTAAATTAAGCAAGCGGCGTCAATTTAAACAAGAATCGATCGGGAGAAGAAGAAACCAAACAGTGAGTGAGCTGTGAGCTCAACTAAGCAGATCAGATCGGAGTAAGCAACTGAAGTTCACAAGCGATCAAGGCTCATCGCAAAATCGAAACGAGAAAGAAAGAAAGAAAGAAATCAGACAGAGGAAAGGGGAAGTGAACGAACCTTTAGGAGGACGTCAGATCCAACAGGCGGCGATGGTGGTGCAGTTCGAAGGAGAAGGAGATCAAGGGAGGGGAGAGCAAATCATCATCCCCTCGCAAGAGAACGAAGAAGAAGCTTTTGGGGAGGAGGGAGGAGAAACCGAGAAGAATGAATTAACGAATTAATGAATGGAGAAAGAAGGGGAATGAGAAATCATTACGAGTAATAAGGGAAGGGAGAGAGTTGAGAACAGCAGGAAATTTTTTTTGTATATTTCGATTTGATTATTATTTTATTTGTACAGAGTGGTAGTGGTCTTTCTATCCTGCTGGTTTGAAAGAGTTGTGGGTTGCTTGCTTGCTTGCGCGTTGATGGAGGAGGACGACGACGAAAACGGGTACATAATCGGGTTGGGTGAAATGGTGATGGTGACCCGACCGGACCGGACCCTCAGATCAGATGAGCAGAAAGCGCAAAATGGCACACCCATAATTACGGACTTTGTCCACGGGCCCAAAATCCAAAAGCGATACAAAATAGGGAAGAAAATTTATATACAAAATAGGAAATTAACAAACAAATGAAACGGGAATTTATTTGAATATTGATTAACTCTGTTAATCACGATAAGTTCTGATTTTTGGCTAAGCTGATTTTAGTCAATTATGCATTCGGATCAGATTAACATGATTTTGTTGATTATATATATTTTATTAGGTTGTTTTTTTTTTGTCTTAGATATATTAGGCTGTTAATTTCTTTATGTATATATAGTGAATTCTTTTCAATTTTCGATTTGAAAAGGGTGAAAAGCATCACAAGTTTACAACCATTTAACGACTAATTGAACATACTAAAATGTTGTCAACACAATCATACAACACCCAAAAAAAATAGATGGGTTAGAGAGGTTCTCAAAATGAGATATTGTAAATTATTCATGACTTGCGGTACCGTAGCATGCTAGTAATTGGAACATAAAAATTTACTACCATCAGCTAGGTTGGTACACAATACTACAGCAAAATTTTGCCTCGTTTTGGTACATTCTTAAATTTTACTATTTGAAGCACACTCACTAGTCATCTGTGCTTCAGACGCAGACGCCGATATTATTGGTTGAAGATATAGTATTGTTTTAGTAAAATTGTAGCAGTAGCACACTGTCGTTGAAACGACAAGATTGCACCGCTAAATAACTTGTCCGTAATCATCTCAATTACGATTTTGCATGATGATTTTAGCCAAAGTTATTTCAATTACTATTTGTGTGAGCAAACTGGACAAGAGAAGAGATATTTCCTCCAAACAAAACCAAAAAATAAGAAGAGAGAAGAGATGGATCTCTAGAGAGCTAGGCATGTACGTTGCATTTGTGATCCCCACTTGTGATTAGCTGTACGAGTGAGAGTATTGGACGGGAGGGGGAATTATACTAGATCGTGAGCCAGACTCCAACCCCACTAATCAGCCACGATTCCATTTTTCTCACCTATCCTACAATTATTATTTTCATTACTATTATCATTAATTCATTATTATTATCATTAAACCTACTCTGTCTCTCTTTCTCGCCACTCTTTTTAAGGTTTTAGGCTGACAAGGACTTTCTTAACTGTTAATAAATAATTACGTTATTAATTACTAGCTATTTAGCTAATACCTTATAGTAACAACGAACAAGGTGTTAGTGTTGTGGTATATGATCCACGATTGAACATTTTCCAACAACTCGAGTTATTAGAATCAACTGGTTCTTGACACAAGGAAGCTTCCATGCGCCGGTGTATGTTGCTATTTCTGAACGACGGGCGGTCGGAGGACGTTACTGTCTGGGAAGGCTCTGTCAAAGGAGGTAGCGGGAAAAAAAAAACACAACTGGCGTGTGCATGCTATGCAAGTTAACCAGCTGGCCTGATCGCATTTTCCCGCAAATTATAATATTTATAATCCGTTTCGGGTTTACCTAGGATTATTTAACTACTTAATTTAATCGAATACTAAGGGAACAAAGACTGAGGACTTGGCTCGGGGCCCGTCGACCGCCGGCCCAAAACTATTGTTCTCTCCCTCGTCCTATTGCAAGTGACTGTAGTGCGACCATTGTAGAGATTGCCAAGTGCGATCTTCTGACTGCTTCCACCTTTGATGGCTGACGACGTTTACGTTGTTGAGAATGGGCCAAACCCAGTTTTGGGATGATTAGCTAGCATGCCAATTGCATTGCCACGCGTATGCGTACTATTAATTAATTTGAAGGAAACTCGGTACTAGAAGCATGGTACTTTGATTAATTAAAGAGGTTACCCTGAATTAATAATAATTAGTGGTTTTGATCGAATCTGCGTTGAAAAATAATGATAATGCGCAGACGGCACCACAAACAAACAACTCCCCAGATCTGTTTCGCTCTGTTCGGTTCCCATGACCGTGACACCTATTCTATTCTCTTTTTCTTTCCAAAGTTTTGAATTTGAGATGATTCAACTTCATAGTATGTACCCCAAAAAATAACTTCATAGCCCAGCTCATGGTCAGCTTTGTAATTGGATCTAGCTTTACTGGCCCAGAGTTCAGATTGCATATTACAACTTTTAGGCCCACTGTGGCGGGCCTTCCCACAAGAGAGCCTGCTCCGGCTAGTTTTTTCCTTCTGCTCTGTTTTCACTCTTTCAACTTTCAACAACAAACTTCCAACTCATCATCACTGACAACAATGAATCAACCGGCGATACTATGCCTGAACATTAAGTAGCAGGCACTAATCTCAACATAGCAACGACGAAGTTTGGTGACAGTTTTAGAATACCGAAACATCTCATCAACATTACAACCACAAGCGCAGATACTCCGTCACGGTAATGAAAGAGCTTGCTGTCCATATATAAGTCATTCGGTTCCTTGTTGTTAATCAGCATATGAGTATTCCTTCTAACGAACCGAAATGCTGAACAAAATGACAGTGACAATGTCTACGACCCTACGACACCCAGCGGCGGTTGTCGCTGGCAACAGCGCAGCTAAATGACAATAAGATCATAGGCCCGGGGACAAAAATGACCTTGGTGCCGGTGGTACGTTGTGTTTTGTATCGCCCCGTTCACTGGGCGTACCTGAACGCCTACAACAGCTTTAGACCTCCTGTGACCTCATCTACTACCTCCACGGGTCCTGCACAATATAACTTACTCTGTTACTTCTACTGGGAAAGAAAAAGACCCCCCACAACCCAAAACAAATACAAACAGCTGCAATTAGCAAAAGGAAGCTGCCAAACCAGGCATCCATCCGTTTCCAGTACAGATCAAAGCCAAGAGCAAGCTGAGGTGAGTGTTCTTACCAAGGAGAGCCATCACAGTCCTAGAATCTGCCACAAAAATTGCTAACATGTTATTTCACATCCCACGCTGGTCTTAAATGATAACAAAACTGCAATAACTATCAAGGCAGGACAAATATACAACAAGCGTCTATTCATATCTATCACAGAAGACAAAGAAACAACATCTACTTCCTCCTCGATTTGATTAATTTTGCCCATCTACATCCCTTTCACCCAAGCTACCACCTCTGCAGCTAACATATCTCACTTGGATGAATAATTGGCTCATGAGCCTTTTGAAAGTAACCCCAAAGTGGCAAATACTTTCACTTTTGGTACATTGGGATGGTACTGCAAATGAACAAACCTACACACTGTATTTAATGTACCTAGGGATTGCTAAACAAAGAAAATGTATGGAAGATAAGGGTCTGATTCGAGATAGTTGCCGGAACTAGCAGAAACAGTAGGCGGCTGCCTCTCCCATCAAAGACCAGAACTTTGTTTGAGAATTCACCCAGAAAAGGATTTTCAGAATCCTATCAAATAAATAAAGTCAAAAGACTCTATAGTTCAATTCCAAACTGCCAAATTCTGTAGGAAAATGTCCTTCTATAAGAGTTACAAACTTCTGCAGCAAGAAACCTAATCCCATTCCAGTAATAAGTCCCAAGACAGCTTATAAAGGACTTCCTCTGCAGACAAGGAAAGTGCAGATAACACCCCTAACTTGAAACATTTAAGATTCAAGCTGAAACAATGAAACAAGGAAAAATACATATATCAAAATAGACTAATGCGTATTGGCAATGGCACGATATATGGCACCTCTGTTCTCGGTGTAAATTTTGCAGTAGGCTGCACATGATAATGATAATGCTGGCCTTTCAGCAAAGCTGAGTTGTTATAGATATCTATCACCGTAACCCGTTGGGGCTGACTTACTAAGCAAACAAAGACAAGGGTTTACAAGGATGGAAGAAAGCTCTACTGGGAGGAGGTTCATTTGCTAACTACAATAAATAAGTAACCACAACACCGGCCACACTTACACATTTCTAACTAGGAAAGTTTAAGATAATACTCTAGCATCATAAGAAAGTGAAGGAAAAAAATTTAACACAAACTGGTAAAAACAGAAGAAAGAAACAAGGTTTACTACTCACTTGGGGCTATCTGAGTCCTCCCTGCATCAATAGTTATGTGGCTAGGTATTTTCAGTGATTTAGCCTTCTCCTGCCAAATATTCTTTAATCTTTAGATTCCGGAACGAATTACAGAATCAATGGAACACATAACGAACACTGAAAGCTTATGAGGTACAGAAGGAAAGTCAGTCAAGTGCATGGTCTCAATGTTGGACTAGTGGACCTATAACTAACAGGAGAACGTACTCCACCAATCAAGTAGAAAAAACAGAAATAGCATTGCAGACTTAACTTAAATTACTAATCAGTCATTATGGAGTCTTGTAAAGAGAAGTAATCATAGAAAATAAGTTTACTCTCTGCAGACCTACCAGGATTCTGGATTAATCATATTGACAACTCAACAAGAGAGCTCTAACAGTCAAAACTACTGCATTACACCTCGGTCAATAAGCTGAAAAGCTATCTTCAGGTCTGACCTACTAAAGAGAAACAACAACCGGAAAGTGTCCAGGAATATCTTCAACTCTTATGCATCTATTGATTATCTATTAAACAAAATACAGATTTTATGACTATCAACAAATTTTGCCGGTTGTTTTTCATCTTCTGAATTTTCATGATCAGTTTCCCAGCCTTTTGGTGTGCTTTATCAAGCTGGCATGTCACACAAGCAGCAAGTGGTGACACGAAAGTGACCTGAACAACTAGAGCTCTAAGGTACTTGAATCCATTAGAGTAGCCAGTCTTATGGTTACAATCCAGTATCCACTCATACCCAGAAGAGACCGGGGCAGCAAATGATTAGTCATACTCATATAAAACAGAATGAAGGCAAAATCTAAATCAGCTTGTTATTGGAAGGCATATCGAGAGCATACTAACTTGCAAAAGAAGCATATCCTCCTCAGTGTCAATTTTGAGAACCACCTTTGGCTGTGCACACATCTCCCACCTGCAATTTTTTTAATGGAAATTCATGAGGTAGTCAAAGGCGAAGAAGAGCAGAAAATGCGGAACAGACAACAGCCCTTCATAGCTTATGGTCGATACCTGTTCAAAGCCTTTGGTCCTCGGTTAAGCAGCTTCTTATAAAGTCCCAAAGTTGCATGACTAACCAAACGATGCAAAGAGTATCAGAAATCATAAATCACGATTGATTAACCAGGAGATATTCAATGATGAATTTCCAAACGCACATGCAAACTACATTCATTATAGAACATCAGCATTTAGGTGGGGTTCCAGTAAAGAGCATACCTACACTGTGCGGCGATTTTGCCTTTTCCCATCTTAAGATCATTCCGAACGACCAGAACCTGTAAACAAGCAACAAATGAAAATAAGAAAAGATATTAACATACCAACCAATTTTCAGGCCAACGAAAAGAGAGCGAGAGAGGTATACCATTTTGAAGTCTTCGAGAATATCTGCGAGCTTTTCAATCTCAAGGGGTTCCTTCGACTTGCGTTTGCCGGCGCTCTTACCACTGGAACCGTTACCCAGTTTCGGCCGGAGAAAGGCGAAAACATGGCGGCGAGAGCCAATGCAATAACCTAAAGCTACGCAGCCGGCACCCAGTAGCATGGAGGGGAGCCAACTCCAATCCATTACCTCCAATTAGCAGGCCTGGCTAATCTGGTCGTGGGGAAGGGAGCAGAAAATACTCTAGACGACCAGACCAGACGTGACCCTACAATCGCAAATTTCAACTCACGTCCCAACGGAGCACAAAGACGAAAGGCCTAACAAACAGAACACAAATGCTTGGGATCAATTCAAATGGAGAAGCGTACATTTCCTTGTTTCCATAGGTTCCGATCCTAGTTCATTTCAGTCTCTACTTACCTGTTACCAGCGGGTCAATGACATTACCAGCAGCCAGGCAGGAACAGATAATGAGTAACCTATCAGCACCAGAACTCAATCCTTCCGCTTGAGTTTCTTCCCTTCCACAGCTCGGGCTGAAAAACATTCGATCTATAAAGGAGAGTGCACTTGTTTTTCCTGTAAACTTGATTAGGGTTTGTTGTCCATCCCAAAACTCCGCGTCAATTCATATAATAAATATGGGTTAATTACCTAAACGGGCACATAACTTTGGATTATTAACAAACTAGTCAGTCAAGTCATGACTCAGTCAAGTCATGACACTCATGAACAAGGTTGTCAACCCGCGGGTTAACCCAGACCGGATCAAGCTAGTGGGTCAAGGGTTAACGGGTCACCCGTTTTAGTCCGGAAATATGGAAAGAGTTATTATATTATACTTATCCTGATAAATTATATCAAATCTCATCTAACATATAAGTAATAACATATAACATTACACCAAAGTAACATGTCGTACTTAGGGGTCGTTTGCTTCAAGGATTTGGTACATGGATTTGGTACCAAAAAACCAACTATCAAGGATTTAGGTACAATCAATTGTTTGCTTGCACCTTTTTTGGAGACCAAATCCGTGGGGCCCATGGATTTTAAGGGTCCAAATCCGTGGACCCCACGGACTTATAAATCCCACATGTTGATGTGGGATTTGGAATATGACATAAATCCTTGATGAGATTTTACCCATATACCCTCATGCACTTTTAATATTTCAAGGTTGCTCTCAAATTTAACTATTATACATTATAATTAACAATAAATGAATAATATAAACGTTCAATTAATGTGCAAACATGAGTTAGATTCTTTGACCTTTTCATGGAACGTGTAATTCTTTGTTCTCCCGATTCTAATATATGTTGTTATATGTTACTTTTGAAAAGGAGGACAAAGAATTGGTAATTGATTATGTTACGTTAAAAGTTAAAACGAAATTTTCTCGTTTATTATTATTGTCCATGTGGCAACATTATCATAAACATGTCAAACATATAGAAAATGATAGTAAGGTAATTTTGAAGTTTTGTCCTTGTTTTGTGTACATATCATAAACATGTCAAACATATAGAAAAGGATAGTAATGTAATTTTTGACTTCAAGTAGTAAATCCCACACCTTTAAATCCATGATAAAAACATCCCAACAAACAAAGGATTGTTACAAATCCATGATGCCTCAAATCCTTGATAAATCCTTGGGTTTTTAAATTACAAAACCCTCATTTTTAAATCCATGAAGCAAACGACCCCTTAGATCCAACATATAGTAAAAATTCACACACACTTATATAACATCAATATTCAAATGTTCAATTAAGGATTCCATATATTGAGTTAGGCGAAAAGAAAAATCAGAAATAGGCGCATTTCGCAAACCAAAGAAAAAAATGACACAATTTGACCTCCAACCCGGTACCTTGCAGCGGTCGACCCGGCGAGTGCGTGCAGGCCATTTTTCTCACCGGGTCAAGGTCAAAGTGGGTTCGTGGGAAAAACGGCATGCACGCACCCGCTGGGTCGACCGCTACAAGGTACCGGGTTGGAGGTCAGATTGTGTCATTTTTTTCTTTAGTTTGCGAAATGCGCCTATTTTCCGATTCTTCTTTTCGTCTAACTCCATCTTTGGAATCCTAAGTTGAACATTTAAATATATATGTTATATAAGTGTGTGTGAATTTTCACTATATGTTGGATCTACGTACAACATGTTATTTTGTTGGATCTATGTTATAACTAATATGTTACATGAGATTTGATATAATTTATCATGATAAGTACAATATAATGACTCTTTCCATATTTTTGGGCTAAACCGGGTGACCCATTAACCCTTGACCCACTAGCTCAAACGGGTCCGGGTCAGCCCGCGGGTTGACAACATTGCTCATGAACCATGATTCATGAACCGTGACGTGAAATAACTAAACATAATAATTGTCTAAATATCACTTTTGATCACTCGAGTTATTAAATTGTTTCACCTTTGTCACAAAAAAAACGTATTGCATTAACGGTAACTAACTCTACATCTACGTTTTACTACTGCCCACCCTCCATTTAATTTCGTTAAAAATCCTACGTGGCAGCCAACAATACTACTTTGACAATTAACCTAATGATGTGTCATTAAAAAAATGTTTGTAATTTCTCATCTCATCTCTATCAAACTTGTGCCAACTTCCCACATAATGACGGAATCTCAAAATCCGTCGTCTTTAGCGCCTCCACTGACTTCCTTCTATCCTCCTCCACCGTGGAACATCCACTGACTTCTCACTACTGCAACAGTCGCTCGTCAATTGCACCCAGTTGGCCCTATCACGAATGAGTCTATAGAGTCGAGAGAAGCTACTTAAGGTCGGTGGAGGCATTCCGTAACGAGGACTCAACGAGGGCGTCGCGAGAGTAAGTGGGGGAGAATGTCACGTGTGGTGTTATGGAAGACCTAGTAGCTTAGGAGGCTCCTATGACTCCCCATCTTAGATGAGCTTAATGGTGCACATCAAGAGACACAATATGAGGTGGTATAATGGTGTGCATTATGGAGGAGACTTAATAGGTGTAGCAATGAGGACGTACCATTATGAGGGGGCATTGATGCCATGTATGAGGAGAGGCCTATATAAGGAGTCATCTCCCTCCCTTGTAACTCATTCCATCATTTGTGTGAGCAATACACCCTAGAGAGTTTCTCCCATTTTCTTGTGTCTTCTTCTTGTGAGTTTAGTGAGTTTAAGTATGTGAGAAGACTGACTTAGCGCCTTAGGGAAATTTGAGAGCTAAGGCCCTACGGTCAAGATTTGGAATCAGAGCATGGTTCTAAGAAAGAATCGGTGTTCTCACTCCCCGGGAAGAAAAAAGGGAAGAAAGAACTAGAGCCTCACAAAAAATGGCGGGATCGGAAGTTCACGATCAGCGGCGGATCTAGGGCTGGGCCACCCTGGACCACGGCCCAACCCTCTTATGGATCTAGAGCTACTATAATGCATATAAAATTTTTCGATTTGAGGTATTCGTCCCTATGTTATTTAAATGTCCGCCCAAAGCTATTTGATAATAGGATTTTGTGTAACTAGAAAAATGGTTAAGATGAACATATCCAAACCACTACTCTAAATTTAGACTAAATTTTTTAGCCCCATTGAAAAAACATTAAAACCTAAAATTTTAAAACGTAAAAGTATAAAAGCATAAAGTTTCATTGAAATAAAAAAATTCCTCTAAACTAAAACTCACCCTTCCCCACAAAACTCAAAAACAAGGAGGAGACGAACGGACCCGAAATGGATTCATACGTCGCCAGTCCGCCGGTCGCTGTTTTTCTTTCCAGTGTTTTGATTAATAAAATATTTACAAACTTGCTAAGTCATAATTTAGATTGCTTCAGTTGAGTAGTACACTAGATCCTAACCGGTCTTTCTGGTATTTTGATGAAAAAAAATATGTACAAACTTGCTCAAGAATTTAGTTTTGAGACTTTGAAGGATATGAGATGTTTTCTTTGAAGAATGAGCTATGATATTATGCCACTCGTGTGAGAAAGATGAAGTTTCTTCCCTTGGAAAATTATTAGAAAAGCATGCAGAACCAAGAATGTACAAACAATACAAATTGATTTGTCAGTTGATTCGTCTAGTGTTGACCATTCCTGTTTCAACGGCTACCACGGAGAGAACATTTTCAGCAATGAAACACGTGAAAACTTATTTGCAGAACAAAATGAGAAATGAATTTCTTGTTGATTGCTTAGCTATTTCTCTGAGAGAGAGTATGCTATTGGTATAGATGAAGATTCTATTATTGATGGATTCGCTAAATTAAAAGACATTCTTGTACAATTGGCATTGTAATGAAAACTATAGTTATTATATATTTTTGTTTACGATATCTAATATTCTATTCAAATGCGGCCTAGTGCTCTACAGTTATCACGATGGTGATGATCAACGTGGTGGAAATGCCTCGAAGGGATCCAAGCAAAAGAGTGACAAGTCTAGCACCTGTGACCCCCTTAGCGGCTCTAGAGAAGTGCATCTCTATAGTGGAGGTAAATGTAGCCGATGATGTCACCATGGTGGAGGATTTGGGAGCTAACTTCACTCAAATTCAAGTTGATATTCAAGGTTTGGGGGCTCGGTTGATGAGCTTGGAGATCGACAATGATGGGCTTCGCGAAAAGCTTGTGACCCTCATCAACAACACCATCTCCACCTCCATGAACAATGCCAATTAAGTTATGAAGGAGACTGTTCGTGCCGAGGTTGCTAGCATGAAGGAGGAGGTTGAGGAGGTCAAGAGCGAGGGAACGCTTGTAAAGAAGGCCATGGCTAACGGATCTATCGCGGTATAACCTACCTTAACCATGGAGATTTCAAGACCGAAGAGATTTCGAGGGTCGAGGAATGCAAGGGCGTTAGAAAACTTCCTATGGAGCTTGGAGCAATACTTTCAAGCTTTGGGTATTCGAGATGAGAATAGCAATGTAAAAACCACACCTCTTTATTGAAGTGATGTTGTTGTGTTGTGGTGGAGATGGAGCCAAGGCGATATCAATAAAGGGACGTGCGTGATGGAGTCATGGAGTGATTTCAAAAGGGAGATAAAGAGGCAATTCTACCCCGAGAACATTGAGTTTGAAGCCCGATCGAGACTGAGGAGGTTTTCTCACAAAGGAGAGATTCGAGGGTATATGAAGGATTTTTCTGAATTGTTGCTCGAGATCCCCGACTACACTGATAAGGAGGTCATGTTCACCTTCCTTGACGGCCTCCAACCATGGGAAAAGTTGGAGCTACAACGGCGAGGCGTACAAAGTCTTGTCGAGGCAATAGCGATTGTCGAGTACCACGAGTTGGAGGAGCACTGGGATCCCGAAGGCAATGGAGGTGGGCATGGACATGAAAAAGACACACGAAGGCATGGTAACATGGACCAAAGAGGTAATCGTAAGGCTGAGAAACCCCTTAATTGCTTTGCTTGTGATGGTATGCATCGTGTGAGAGATTGCCCAATGAAACACAAGTTGTTAGTCATGAGGGGCTCGAGCTCAGAAGAGGAAGAGGATGAGACTCTAATAGTGGAGCCCACGTCACAAAGATATTCTACATGAAGAGATTGAGTGCCATCAAGCGGACG